AATACAATATAAAATACGTTCGATTAATTTTACTATATGTAAAATTTATTACGTATATATTAATATTTTTCATTGTGGAAAATATTAATCGGAAAAACTCTTATAAAATTCTCTCAATACCATATTGTCCCATGATTATCATGATTTTCAGAGTAAATTCTAACAGAAAATTCTCTCCATGTAATATATCTTTGCACGTGAATCACAACAAAAAAGTTTATATAAAATAATTATTATTAAATTCTTTTAATATAAAATAATTAATATTAATATAAAATTATAATATCAATATTAAATTTATAAATTAAGATAAATATTAATTTTTAAATATGATACGATATACCTTAATTGTTAAAATATTTATGCAATAATGATTGCGACGCTGTGCTTGATCGTTTTAATGTCAATACACTGTAAAAAATTTTATAAAATTACATTAAAAATATGTAAAATTACATAAATAATAAATGTAAAATTACATGATAAATAATGAAAAAATAATCATTTCTATTATTTATTATGTAATTTTACACTTATTATTTATGTAATTTTACATATTTTTGTGTAATATATTACATATTTTTTTACAGTGTACCTTTATCATGGATACTGCTTCGATTATTTTTAGACACGATATCTAGGGTCGAGGAAGTCGTCCGCGTCCGATTTCCCATCGCGCTTGCAGCGAAACTGCATTCCGCACGATCGTATCGCTGCATGCGCTGACCTTCGCGGGAAATGCGTCGCTTTAAGTGCTGCCATTAGGTTAGGTATTCTCAATATTCGCAAATAATAACGTGCATCGTATCGCATGGATATACAACGAGAGTTAACCCGCGTTCCATGAGAATTGCACGACGCTCCGGCAATTCTGTTCGCTGCATCAAGCGCGACTGAGTATTCAAGGCGCATCAAGCTCGGATAATAATAGGATGATTTATTGCTATGCGACCCGAGACGGCGAGTTTTGTGCGAGAAAACTTAACAATAGATACAGTACGATTGCAAAAAATATCATCAGTATTGTACAGATGAATGGAAAGAAATGATTTTTTCCAATAGTTTTTAAATTCTTAAAAACTGACAATTATATTGGAATATATATTTTAAGATACATTCGACGATCTACTTCGTAATTAAATTCGAAAAATATCTCAATATAATTTACTTACAAATTAAAAAAAAATTTTTTTAAAAGATTTTTAAATTCTTACAAAAGAAAAACAGGCAAATATCTCAATATAATTGAGATTAAAAGAAAAATATCTCAATATAATTTACTTACAAAAAAAAATCTTTTTAAAAGGTTTTTAAATTCTTACAAAAGAAAACAGGCAAATATACTTAAATATTTAAAAGTACACACACGGAAAAAAAAAATTAGCTATCATAACTAAATTTAGCTGTCTCTATATTACAACCTGAATTTTACTTATCATGCCTAATTTAGTTATGGTAATTAATATTTTTAGCTACGTTAACAGAAGAAAGATGCTATGGCTAAAAAATATTATATTAACTATCATAGCTACAATTTAGACATGATAATAAATTTCATGTTTAATACAATTCAAATATTTGTCTGCTTTTATTTTGTAAAAATGTAAACACCTATTAAAAAGAATGATATATTTTATATCATCTTTGAATGTGCACATTCGAAGGTTTACTTGATAATTAAATTCGAAAAATATATATTCGAAATACATTTACGTAGGATTAAAAAAAAATCTCACTTTCTCGCGATTTTTTCACCTCATCGGTCGGTGGTCTTCGCGCTTTCACCTGACCAATATTACGCGTGTTAAGATAGCGACCGAAATTAACCGCAGCAAATTGCGCGCAATATTCGCCAATTGCCAATTACCATAAAAGGGAGCTTATGGTCGCGCTGGCGTTACGTTAAAAATTGCCGGTATTGACTGATAGTATCGGTGATTCCATGAAACGCTAACACTATCGCGATAAATGCGAGACGATGATTATAAATATATACACTTTGCTTACATTTGCATCAAGGAACAATGTGCTTTGACGAAGAAGCGCCTTGACCTAAATTGCCTTTTTCCGACGTTTTCAAAAAAAAAGTGATCAAAGAGTTTACCCGTGATTGAAAGGTTCAATGTTTAATTCATCTTCACAGAAAAAAATTAGCTATCGCACATAGCTACACATGGCGATAATTTTGTCTTAGAATTTCTGAAAATCATGGTAATCGTGGGACAATATGGTGTTAGAAGAATTTTATGAGTTTCTCTGATTAATATTTACCACAATAAAAAATATTAATATTTATGTGTACATAGTAAATTTTACTATGTATATATATAGTAAAATTAATCAAATATATTTTATATCTTGTGTGGTAGATATTAATATTTTTCATTGTGGTAAATATTAATCAGAGAAACTCTTACAAAAATTTTCTAATATTATATTGTCCTATTATTACCATGATTTTTAAGGTAGGTAAATTCTAAGAGAAAATTATCTCTGTGTGAATTTTAACTGTCCATATATTACAACACTGAAATTTAGTTATCATGCCCGCATTTTAGCTATGTGATAACTAATATTTTTTATCTGTAGTTTAACAAAGAATGCTACAGCTAAAAAATATTAGCATATATCATAGCTAAAATTTAGGAATAATAATAAATTTCATGGGTAATATAAGGACAACTAAAATTTAGTTATAGTAGCTAATTTTTTTCATGTTTCTAAAGAAATTAATGGAAATTTTTATTTAAAAAATTTCGTTTCAAGAAATTAGAAATTTAAAAATGTTATATTTTTGGAAAGAAGAAATTTTGTCACAGTGTGTCTTTGACATGCTTCAGCATAATTAAAATAGCGAATTAACTGAATTAAGTACAGTGATGTGTGAATTCATAGAACATGAATACTGAAAGATATCGTAAAAATGAAGAATATCGTGAGGATAATGCATTTTCGATAAGCAGTAAACATCATCCGCGTCATCATAAACGCGTTGCAGACGTATAAACAAAAAAGTGTCGTAACGGGATTATAAACGGGTTTTATCGTCGGGCATTAAATTTCTCCAGTGTTATTAGGGGTAATGGAACAGTTGTTTCAAGTTAATTGCGTTACAACGCGAGGGAAAAATTTCTAGAGAAAACCGAAACTTTGATATACGACGAGTGATAAATTATTGCGCCTTTTTTCTTTTTATTTTGTTTTTCATCACTCTCAAGAAAATGTCGCGAATAAAATACAACAAAAAAAAGGAACTTTTAAACTCTTTGCAAATAGAACATAAATTCTTTATGTATGTTAAGCTAGAAAGGTAGATATAAATTTTGTCAAAGTAAGACATTTAACAAGAAGTATATTTCTTAAATTTATTTCTTAAAAATTTATATTCTTAATCGTCAAACTGTATCTTTATATGGTAGATTGTAATACCAGAGCTATTAAGGAAATACTGCACGGAGAGAATTTTCTCTTAGAATTATCCTGTGAAATCATGGTAATCGTAGGACGATATAGTATTGAAAGCATTTTGTATGTTTCTTGATTAATATATTACCACAATAAGAAATATTAAAATGTACATAGTAAAATGTACATAAAAAATTAAAAACATATTATCTTATTGTGGTAAATATTAATATTTTTTATTGTGCTAAACATTAATCAGAGAAACTCTTAGAAAATTTTTTCAATACCATATTGTCTCATAATTACTATGATTCTCATAATATGATTTTCAAGGTAAATTCTCTGTGTGTAATAGCTGCATTTGGTGATTTGAAACGTTCCATAAATCAAGCAGAGATTTTAGAGGATGTATTTTAGTTAATACACCTCGGTATCGATTCTGTAACTTTTTCTAAAGTGAAAATGTGAAAAGTGAAAAATTTCCACCAATCGCATATCGATTTCATTTTAAATTCAATTTGTGATTGGCGGAAAAATTTTCCTTTTTACTTAGAAGAAATTACAGAATCGACACCCTCATCAGTAATTTCAGAGACAAATCAATATACATAGGACAATTACTTGTTATTCTCGTCTCGAAGGCCGCGTGCCCGTTCCATCATGCTCGCAACAGTTGCAAAATGCAATATTTATCGCAATGAAAGAAAGAAGAAAATAGTCTCTCGTGCCCCATTTATATCTCGCATCTCGTAGATACGTTTTCCAGACTCGCGACGTCGTTTCTCTTTATGGAACGCGCGTTTTTGTTTCGCAAATACTTATAGATCTAACGATGCCGATCGATTGCGCAGTCAATCGATCGTTATTATCTACCAACGGGTGCCAACAGTGGATTCCTTTCTCTTGTGAAAAAAGTACATGACATTTATAAACGTTCATCCTTCTCTCGCTTTTTATGGAATTGCGAAAAAAGACAGAGATTGTTTGATTCAAAATTAGCAAATAATCGTTAATTAACGATTATTTGCTAATTTAATCGGACGCAATCTGTTTTTTTCTCTGCAATTCCATAAAAAAGCGAGAGAAGGATGAACGTTATATAAAGATGACTGGTACACTGAAAAAAATTTATTAAATTGACTAAAACTTTCAATTAAATATTATTTTGTTAATTGAACATATAAAAATATTTAAATTAAAATATAATATATTAAAGCTAACAAAACGTATATTTGACTTAAATATTAATATATGTTCAGTTAACAAAATAGTAATTTAGTCAAGTTATAAATTCTTTTTTCTTTTTCAAAGTACTGGTCGACTTGTATAGTTGTTATTTTTCCACAAAGTGAAGATGAGAGATGAATCCATCGTTGCTATCTATTGATAGTTAATTAATAATTAGATTGCACAATCAATTGATTGACATCGTATTAGATCTATTGATATGTATATGAAGTAAAAACGTCCTTTTCCATAAGGAGAACCGACTTTGCGAACCTGGAAAACGGATGCATATAAAAAGTGATATAAATAATGAATAAATCAATAAATCAATTAAATCAATAAACAGTAGAATAAATAATTTGACTCACATTTCGACTATTCTTTTCTGGTCTCATTGTCATGCAGCATAGTCCAGCTTCCTCGCTTATTTTTCCTGTAGAAAATCAGCCTCTGTTTCAGGAATTGTTCACAAAACTTTCCAGTCGACGTTACTTTTTCGTAATCTGAAAAATATATAAATATGATATTATGGGAAACACCATATACATTCGCAATCGTCGCGTATTTCGATAATATACAATTCATATATGTTCTTTTCGCTCTTTGTTAAATATTTTCGACAATTCACAATAAAATTTTCAAGTCAACGTACGATAGGAAGATTATAACAATGATATTATGGCGGCGTAACCGTAGTCGTAGTCGATGAAATTTTTTGCACAAATTACGAGCTTTAATTACAGCGGAACGATAATCCGAAAATACGACCGGAAACGCCACAATTTCTCGCTTAGAAGACGATCGACAACGTCGAAAAAACCCCGAAAAATTCGCGTCGAAAGCGCAGCCGGTGATTCTCGCGATCCATCCTCTTTAATTGATGCAACTTTCAGAGCAAACTGTAGCTGTGACGTCAAACGCGTCATAACTCACCATTGGAGCATGGCCAAAGGGGACACTTTGGAAGAACGATTATTGAACGAGATTTACGGCCGGCGAGATCAATTTGGGCAGAAAATCGCGATCACGCTGTCAGGACACTCGACGCAACCCGATTTGATAATTAATTAACGACGTGAAGACACTAATTAATGCTCGCGCTCGTTCTGTCGCGACTCGAGTCGAAGCCACGACATGACATGATTTCGAGGAGACAAATGTCGAGTGAATTCGAGTCGACGAGGTCAATTCGGGATTCCCGATGCCCGGACACGCGACGCGATCGGATTCGGGCGGTAATTAATTGGTGTAATGACAATAATTCATACTCACACTTTGCACTTTCGTGGACCGGAGCGGCGACAAGCGCGGGAATGTTGCTCGCGAACAATGCGAAATGTAGATAGATGGCAGCATCTGAAATTTGTCCGCGTAGAACGAAGCGCTCGATTGACCAATCAGGACGCAGGGATCCGCGGCCTCTGATTGGTCGGTCAAAGTCTGCGCCTTGGCGGACAGATTTTCGAACGCAATTCTGAAGTTTGTTCTAAAGTAATAAGAATTTTTCTCATATATATGTAATATTATAATGTTTTACTATTCTTAATTGAAATCATTGCTTAGTGATGATAACATATTAATTTAAATTAAAAAAGAGTATATTTTAAATCTACTTTAAATTATTACTTTAAATGCAATTATCGTATATAATTATTATATTCATAAATTAAACCCAGGTAGCAATTAGTTATTCGTCCATGAGCAAATCACTTTCTTTATCGAGTTATCATTGCGTGTGTGTGTGTAATATTTGTTTCATAATTAATATTAATTGAGATATTCTAGTTGAAACGAGAGTATTATTTCGATCGTTAGTTAACAAAGTTACGCTATTCTCGTCGTGTCAATGATTTTTTCGCTCGCTCAGATTTTTCGTGACACATTTCGTAGCAAAATCTGCCTTTTCCGAATTATATTTTCTATTTTCAGAGCATAATTTCCCCTCTCTTACTCGTACATTGTTTTATTTCAAGCATAAAAGGCACATAATACATAATACAGTGCAATTAAAAATATAATAGAAAGAAATGAATATATATATATATATAAAGAAATAAATAAGTGCAAAATCCGATAGATGGCGCTGCGGTATCTGTTTTTCGAAAAAACGCCATCATGTATATCCGCAAGCTTCAAGATTCCGCGAAGTCTCCCCGGGATCTCCGCCGCGACGAGTCGAGGTATAAATAATTCTCCGCGATTTTTCGTCCTAAACACGTCTGTCTAATAAACTCGACATTGAGATGCTGGTCGCGTCGGCGTCGACGCCGACGTAGGCGACGCTCTCGTCGTCGAGCGGGCGCCTCGGGATACATCGAAAGTGAAGCTCGCTTCGCTCTCACGAACCCGCGGACTTCAGTGCAGTGTCGGCGGCCATATCGAGACGACGAGTCCGCGCGCTTTTCTCGCGCGAGCGTACACATAATCGCCGCATAATCCGGTTCGTCGATCTGACAAGTGTCATCTGTCATCGCGAGCGCGCGCGGGAAAGCGATTTTTAGTGTCGGGTGACGCGCTGGTACCGCGTGATATCGAATGTATCGGGTTACGCGTCCTCGGGGACGTCGCGCATCGGTATGAAGTGAGCGACGCGTCTTATGTGTTCGCGCGTCGGTGTGAAGTGAGCCGCGAGTCGGAGTGTCACGCGCGCGGGAGATGAGTTCGAGTCGTTTTGGCGCGAGCGAGGCACGTGGGTGAGCGAGCGGAGCCGGTGACCTTTCGCGAGTGTGACGTAACAACGCAGTGCGCGACGCGTCGTCTATTTGTCGAGATGCCGACTTATGTATTCCGCGGCGACGCGTGAAGGTATTGTTTTCGAAATTTGTTCGACAGACTCTTTTTACGTCGCGCGAAATATGTATATATTATAAATATACATAAAATTATATAATAAATTTATAATATTTTATACATAAATATATGTATATTGTGATGAAATATTAATAGAAAAATGTATATATATATACACACATGCATACGTTGACTCGAAAATTTCGTGAACTTGTCGCGATTAGACACACGTGTGTGACATATTCGGTAATGTGATATTGTTTCGTTACGATTTCCGCGTGTCTACGGTTTATCGTTTTTCCTCATCTCAATACGATCAAAGTGCGCGTGTGTTTACGTAGAGACAATAACATACAGACGTAGTTCGTCGCGAGCGAGTGATATATAGTGAAGTGATGAATCAGTGATCGAGAAGAGATCCGAGGAAAGAGACAATGCATACCACAGCATCGCCGAGAGCTGTCAAGCAGCTTCGAAGGAACGTCGGTCATCATGCGCCTCCGAATTACAGGACTCGTTTGGTACGTCGATACATATAACAGTTTAGATATATACTTTTTTATTCATATTTCCGTAGTTCGCACTTCCCATTTTGACATGTCTGTATTATCAGAGGTTTGTTATCTATATATGATTATTTGAACAATCTTGAATTCCTCGAGACACTCGAATAAGAGCATTGTTTTCGATGCAAGAAGTGCGTCGCAAACGTAAGGGAAACCGGTTCTTTTTCCTATATATAAGCTTTAAACACGCAATTCCCTTTCACCTTCGCAGGAGACTTATCGGTGTCGTTCGTGCATGAGATAAAATATTTTTATTTTGCAAATTACCGCGACGCATGCGTGTCTCGGTAATGTGTGCGTGAATAAATTGCACACTGAAAAAATGTGTTAACTTGACTAAACCTTTCAACTAATTACTATTTTGCTAATTGAACATATATTAGTATTTAAGTCAAATGTACGTCCTGTTAGATTTAATGTTATATTTAATTTAAATATAAAAATATTTATATGTTCAATTAACAAAATAATATTTAGTGTATATTGTGTTTTTAAAATAATTTAGTTGTGAAAGATTTAGTCAAGTTAACATATTTTTTTTCAGGGCATGTGCGCGTTAAAATTTTTATTGAAATAGTATTTTATAACATCAAATTACTTTTTTAACATTTTTATTTAGCATTTTATATTTTATATGGCATTTTAAAGCTTCATAAAAAATATTCTTTGTCTAAAAACAGCGCAATTAAAGTTGCGCATTAATAATACTATCAAATTTATGAAATTGATCTTACTTTATAATATTTCCATCATTAACATACGTAAAAAGATATGATGTACATTAATTTATGAAATGAGTTTAGAATTATCTTCATCGCCTCGTTTATATATTTTTATACTCATGTATTTTTATATATTTTTATACTCATGTATATACATATATTTTTATATCTAAAGATTTTGCGCGGTAATGATGCAAATAAGGGATGGGCTTATCAGGTCTGGAGATTACGTACTCACGATTGGTAATAATAAACCGACTTGAGTCGCGCAAATAGCGAACAAAATGTTCGGGGAATTCCGGACGAGAGATGATCGTGATAACACGCGCGCTTATTCCGCATTATCAGTATCAATTTGCCTTCCGATTTTGCAGACGCTCTTTTGACCTAACTATCGATTATTAAACCGTCGTAAAAATAGTCACCGGATATTTTTCCACGCGCTCGTCTATGAGTGTCGTGTTTAACGACGAAGTTCAATCAGTTTTTTACGATTCAATTATCCTGTTTGCAATTGCTGACTATAAATGCATAAGACCGAATATTGCTAAATCAAGTCATGGTCAATGTTTGCAAAACACTGATATCGCTGCTATGTAAAATGCAAATTGATATCTAAGATATAAATAAAAAAAATTTTTAATTTGATCAAACTTTTCAACTAAATTACTATTTTGTTAATTGAACATATAGTAGGCATTTAAGTTAAATATACGTTTTGTTGGATTTAATATGTTATATTTAATTTAAATATTTTTATACGTTCAATTAACAAAATAATATTTATAATAGTTGAAAGAGTTAGATAATATAATAGATTTATATAAATCCATATCCTGATAAAATGTTGATATATCGTGAGAATATTAATTTATCATGTTGAAGTTATATTTTGCATGTTTATTAAAATAATGATTTTAGTAAAACGCAAAATCTCGATCGATTAATAGTAAATATCAATAATGTAGTTAAGCATTCTTGCATTTAAAATTGAATTACACACTGAAAAAAACTGTTAACTTGACTAAGCCTTTCAATTAAATATTATTTTGTTAATTGAATCTATAAAAATATTTAAATTAAATATAACATATTAAATTTAACAAAACGTAAATTTGACTTAAGTATTAATATATGTTGATTTAACAAAATATAGTAATTTAGTTGAAAGGTTTAGTCAAGTTAACAAATTCTTTTCTGTGCATCGATTGCAAAATAATAAACGCGATTGTATACTAAATGCAACCGATCAGTCATCAGTCACACAAGAATGAACTGGAATATAGTCGTAAGAGAAAAAAAACAAAAGCATTCGTACATTATAATCAAAGAACATTGTAAATTAGAGCTAAACACGCATTTGCGATATCATTAGTTCTCCTTGGAATGTTTAATGAAGCGGCATGTACAGAAATCGACATGTGAACGGTGTTCGTGTTTTCAAAAATAGCCGACAGTAATGTGTTATTAACGTTGACCAATTTGCACTTTTCATATCTGCGCGATAATGACTCGCCCACACTACAGATTATCGACAACGATTAAACCTCTCATATAAACGTGACCGATAATTTACATTGCAAATGTCGGAAGTTTAGTGATGTACGTAATATTTTTATTTCTGTTTGCATCGATCAATAGGCTAGATAGATAGATATCGATCGTAATGCTATTAAAATGAATATGTCAATTGTATGTGCGTTCTATGACATTTGCGTATATAGGTGTGTGCAACTAATATATGAACTTAAAAATTAGCGCACGATTTTTTAAAAATTCATTGTTTAATACAGAAAATAATATATAGCACTTTATTTAGAGTTTTATCAATTAAAAATTTTAAATGACTAGCACGACTTTACGATAGCTCAAATCCGCTTGCACAGTCTTTTCTAGAATCGTTTGTAGTTGATTCTAGTAACAATAATTTCGTTTGTAGTGCCATTAAAAAATATAAAATTAATATTTTGAAAGTTACATGACAGATTTACATGATAGCTGAATACGCGAATTTGAGATATCTTAAACTTCTAACTTCGAGCAAGTCTTTAAGCGGAGATAGATCGATGTCGATCTTAAAGCGAAAAAATTAAAGTCACCTCATTTTGAAATATTTCAAATCCGCATGTGCAGTTTTTTTTTGTTAGAATCGTTTGTAGTTGGTTGTAGTAATTTTTGTTTTGTTTGTAGTTGCACGGTTTTGAATTTGCAATTGTTTAAAGAAATGGTCGATTGTGATAAT